AGATTTAAATTGTATGGGGTGCAGGAGATGTCACCCAATAGCACCCTAAATGGATGGGGAAACATAACTAAATCCTGGATTGTGTTAGATCAGGGGCCTGTTGTTCGCATGTAGAATAAAGAGATTCAGGATAAGTGAAAAAGCTAGACAAATAATTGAAAAAAAAAACAACCTTGGATTATTGCTTGTACTCCCACTCTTTACAAAATGACTATGAATAAGCTGATATTAGATTGTTTTATTGTATGTACAGTCCATATCCATATCTATAGTATCTAGACTCATTTCTGCTTAGAATCAGAGTGAAATAAATACATCTTATATTGTGCCCCTTTGACTTTGTGCAAACTCTCAGATCCTTAGTCACAATACTTAAGGTTTGGCAGCATTCAAATATGCTTCACCTTCTATATTCGCCAATGCATGTTTGTCATTACGTGTAATATTTTCCCTCTCTCTCTCACACAAACACACACACACACACACACACACACACACACACACACACACACACACACATACACACAAAACATGAACTAAGGTTTAGTTTAATAATGCTGCCTGTGACAAAAATGAAGACAGGTACTCATGAACTCCAGTAGAGCTAATACTTTGAGTAGAAATGTGTGTCACAGTGGTTCAAGAGTGGGCTGTTTGGGGTTATTCCATTCACTAGCAGATTTCTCCCCTGCATTTCTGACAATCTGATCAATCAAACCTAAACTCTCATGCCATGTAAAGTTGTTGTTCCCAGACAGCATTTCTAATGGTAGACAATGGTAGCTCATGTAAATGCCCTATGACAAAATATGGTTTCCCCCTCCAGAGACACAGGGCATTAAACACCTGGCCATTTTCCGTTCCAACTTGGTCACACGACTACTGACAATGATGTTTTTTATGGCCTAATGTATATATCAATGAAGGAGTGTGAGCGTTGCTTCAAACCATTTAACAGGGGACCTGTGTAATTTTGATCAAACAAAGAGGGGTCCTCAATCACTTTATACAATCCAAGTGAGGACCAATTTTTCTGTTTTTGAGCACTAAGTTCAAAATAAAATTCTACACATTAAACTCTCTTTAAAACTCTGCTTCCTGTTTTGCTGGTTACGAGAGAGGCAGTAGGTAACTATCAGGGACAAGTAATTGCAGGTTGTAAGGATGCTCAAGTGCAGGAAAGTCATTATCATTTTCAAAGCCAGATTTACTTTGGCCGAATGTCCCTAAGTATCTTCCCATCCCACAACAATAGTATCAAGCTCAACATGCCTAATGCATTCTGATGTCTCATTCATGTAATTGAGGGGAAATTAGTGCAGGTTGTAACTCCAATGGCACTCTAGACTGGCACCTACAAACACTTAAACTCAAATTTGTGTCTCAATAGCAAAGGGATATGGTGTCACTTAAACTGTACATTTGTGTCTCAATAGCAAAGGGACATGGTGTGGTTAAATTGTTGATTTCAGGTGATAGGACCATAGCCACACTGCCTCTATGAATCTCTCACTGCTTTTAACCATATATGTTGTAAAGCATTTCCCTCTACATGCACCACTGCTGGTGAGCCTGCTGTTTTAAGAAAAATCTCAGCATTATTCTTTCTGCGTCATCACAGAGTAGTTAAACAGTAGACCTTTTGGGGTTATTCCATCCACTAGCAGATTTCTCCCCTGCATTTCTGACAATCTGATGAATGCTAATCTCTCATGCCATGTAAAGTTGTTGTTCCCAGACAGCATTGGTATGGCATGGTAGCTGACAAACATTGTTTCCCCCTCCAGAGACACAGGACATGAAACACCTATACAAACCTCATCAAACTAAAAGGAGAGATCATATTACCCCTTTCTTAGCTTCTCTACATTGGCTCCCTGTAAAATTCAGAATAGATTTCAAAATCCTGTGTTGTATATTGGGGTAGCGATGATGTGAAGATGATGA